TGCAGGCCAGGGAGCTGATCAGTACAGGCTCTGTCAGCAAATCAGCCTACCAGGAGCTCTAAGCCAAAGAAATGATAACCAAGAAAAGAGAGGGCCTGGAAAGGCTGCAGCAGGGACTGGAGAGGAGTTTGGGTAAGAGGACAATCAGCAACGCTGCAAGTAGGGCTTGGGATGGGGCACTGCTGATGGGAAACTGTAGGGACTGTAAGAAGATTTGGTAGCTGGGGAGAGTGTTCTGAGGAGGAATTGCAGTGATCCCAGTAAAAATGACAAGCTGCTGCTTGGAAGTTTCCATTCAGGTACTGCAGAGGGGTACTGGATGTTCCCTCCACCTTTCGTAACAGAAGGAAACCCTACAAAGCCGCGAAAGCCAAGAGCACAGCACTGTATGGTCGAGCAGCTGGACGCTGGCACTGCAGTGCATTCATCCCAGATCCTTACTCGGGATTGTACCACTCAATTTACGGATGCTTCCTATGAGACAAGCTGAGCAAGGAGCTTAAATCCACTAAAATAAAGGGACCTGGTGTCTCAGAGAGCCAGTTTTGCTCAGGTAGCTGCAATTACCATTTTAATTGAATACTGCATCACTACTTTGTGCTGAAAATGAGCAAGGATAAAGCAGAGAGCCTTCCTCTGGACCTTCAGAATGCGCATGGCTGGTGGGGTTAACTCCTGTAGCATACAGTTGCTATTTTGGTTTTGGGCCCTTTGCCATCTTTCAGAAAATACCCACACACAAAGCTTTCTCCATCAAAAGAAATAACCTTTTTTTCATCCTAATTTTAAAGGAGAAATCCAGGTGCTCCAAAAGGAAAGTGCACATCCTCTCGCTACGAAGCAGTGTGTAGCTCTGCACAGGTTCATGAGCTGGACTTCTGGGCCTAGAGCAAATTAAAACTAAATCTTACCAATGCCCCCAAACTATGACACAGGATGCTTCACTGGCTTTCCTCTGCTCAGCTGCAGCTCCTAGAGAGCACAGATCCTCTCCAGTGAGAGGACTTGTACCATGCTATGAGGGGATGCTGCCATACACTTACTTAGACTATCTAGAGGGATTCATTTCTCAGGTTTTTGTTATTCTTGCTGCTGTAGACCACCTCTTTTGGTCATTTCCGAGCACTGTAGCAGAATCAGGGAGCTGGAGAATGTCTGGTTAGGTTTGGGTTTCCACCACCAGTCCCCAGTGTGAGGAATTCAGCAGGGCTGGCACTAAACAGCAGCAGCTTCCTTAGCAAAAAGTAGAGGAAACCCAAAACCTTATTCCAAAACCCATTGCATACAGCAAACCTTGTCCTCAGTGTACTTCTCTTTTTAAAATCCAGAGAGGAGGTATGTCTTGCAGCTACCCTGGAGGTGAATAATCAGGGCATTTCCACCAATATAATCCAATAAACTTAATGATAGTGAGCAGTTCTAGTAATAGTGTGATTTTCTATTTCCTGGCAAGTGACTCATGCTCCTGTGAGGGTCAGTCTGCCATTCCACAGAGCCAAAGCAAACCATGCTGTTATATAAAGTAGCCTCTTCTTTTCTAGAAGATGAAGGAGATGTTTGAACCCTATGTGACATTTTCTACACTCTCTTGTATTTCATTTTGTTTTTATAATAACTGAATTGCTTAGAAACTTCAGCAATGAGCTCGGAACATTCTTGTAATGGATGACACCTGGGTGGGAAGAGCAGCAGGTCCTTTTAGAGGCTAAGCTGAGTGTGCATTACATTAAGGATGTTATTTAAACATGTTTTTTCTTAGGAAAAGTTCATAGCTATTGCTGATAAATACTCTGAGATGAGCTCTTCCCTGCTGAATGAAACCAAAATTGTATCATCACTGCTGATTTTTTTCATTGCATTTTCATATATGTAAAAATATGTTTAAAATATTTTTCCTTCCTTTCCTTTCCTTTCCTTTCCTTTCCTTTCCTTTCCTTTCCTTTCCTTTCCTTTCCTTTCCTTTCCTTTCCTTCCCTTCCCTTCCCTTCCCTTTCCCTCCCCTTCCCCTCCCCTCCCCCTCCCTTCCCTTCCCTTCCCTTCCCTTTCCTTTCCTTTCCCCTTCCTTCCCTTTCCCCTTCCTAACACAGCTGCTTAAATCCCTGCCCAGCTATATCCAGTGGGATTAGCTGGCTGAGCCACTCAAGGCAGCACAGGTTTCTCATTCATGGACAAATGCTTTGCCTCTGGTGATGCATGACTGCTTGCAGCTGCTTTTCCCTGCATAACACCAGGTCACAGAGGAAAGTGAACACTTTCTGCCCTGCCGAAATGCTCTGCGAAATGTCCAGCATGAGGCCAGGAGAGGTCATCGTGGTGGGCTGGGGTGGTAATGGCGTTTATGTCCAGTCTGTCTGACTGCAGTCCCTTGTCAGAGGCCAGGGGAGCAGGCACAGATCCCCGGAGAATTCCCCAATCCTCATCCTGAGAAGAACAGGGAGGAGGAAAACAGAGAGCAAGAGATGGATGCTGCTTGTTTTCCAGCCCCAAATTCCCTCAACCACAATTACTGGCTGCCACAGAAACCTCCTGCCTCGCCCATCATCTCAGAACAAGCCCTCCTGCAGAGCCAGAGGTATTCCTGTGCTGGCTGATGAACGGCGGTAGCTGGAGAGGAATTAATACTCTGAAATACTCAGTTGTCTGAAAGGGCAAAATCAAAAAATAAGGGCCAGAATGAATGTCAAGCTACTATATTTAGCCCTGTCCCTGAGCAGATAAGTCTTTTCTACACTAGGGTCAAGGAGAAAGAATCTAAACCCACTTATTTTCCTCTGCCCAGAAAAGCACACCCCAGAGGAAACACCCAGAGACAGCACAGCATCTCATCACGGCACAGCTCTTTCTGTGGATGGGGGCTTTTAGTACGATGGCCGTGGGCTTTTTTACTGAATGATGAAATCCCAGTTACCCAGGAGCAATTCAAGAACTCACATATTTTTGTGCAATCTATGTTTTCTTGAAATATCGGATTTTGGGTTCCCACTAGGTGGGGCTTTGGTCCAGTCCAGTCTTGCAAATCCAACTAGCAATACTGCACCTGCATTTTTACATTTCCCTCGTTGGCTCCATGCTTATGCTATGACTGAACCTATGTTCTTTCTATGGCTGAATACATTTTTAAGGCAGAGGACATAACGAAGATAATTGCTTCCCCCTGAGCTTTCTGTGGGAGCAGACTCTGCTGTGCAGTGGAGTCTGATCACTTCCACATGATGACTTGCATCCTCCTCCAGCCACACAGGGCTCTGCAAGTGGCAATGTGAGCAACAGGCACCCGAGTGATTTTTCTTGAGTCAGATGGTGAGAAGTGGCTTCTATCTTTTAATTATTGATCAGCATCAGAATAAATTTTTGAGAGTTATGGCTAAAATTTAAACTGCTATTTCTGCAGGTTATTCAAAGCCTCTACAGATCTTTTTTAAGGCATTCTGAACTCATGGGCCCCAGAAAATGAGCTTTTTCTCCCCACAGATGGAGCTGTCTGCTCCTTTGCCACCCAGAGAACAACTGACAGCTGCAATTCTCACCGGGTGTGATGGCTGTTTCTGTCATCTGAGTTATTTCGGGACCTATCAAATACCACTGCTCCTCCCGTCACGCAGTCAGCTACTGTTCCTGCTACTCCTACAGTCTTCAGGAATAATATTTTTGCCCAGGTTCCTGATGAAACATCTCTTCCATCGAGGCTTTGATTTGTGCCAGCAGTTACATAAATCTTAATTTCAGCTGCCTTCTTTCCTAGAGAGGGATTTCTTAAATATGATGTAGGTTTTGGATGTAGGGAGAAGGAGACCCATGAGCCCTGATAGTCAAGCTTACAAGGAGGTGTGGAGCAGTGTCCAAACCCTTCCAGCTTTCGCAGCCCCTCCTCTTCACCAGAGTAACCAGCACTTCGTTATCCTTTTTGCGATTGCCTTTCCACCCTCTTGTCCCTGTCTTGACGTACCTCTGGGAGGGGCTGGTGACTCACGGTCTGTCATACCCCCCATGGTTTGTTCCTGGTGACTTCTAAAGCTGCATCCATCTCACCCCAGTGCAGTGGCCCATCCTGAGATGTCTGTTCTTTGCAGCACAGAACAAAGAACAGAACTCCTTGGACAAAAGCTTTGGGCAGATGAACCCTCCCAGGCCCTGAAGAGCAAGATCCCAGTACTCTGAGCCAGAAGTTATGCCAGGGGGATCTCTGAGCGTCAAGACAACATCAGAGAAACCCCAAGGAAACAGACGGGCTGGACCTACTCAGCCCCATGGGCAGTGCTGGCTGCCAGCACTGGCCAGTGCAGCTGCCCTGGCCTGTGCTCACTGTGGCAGCGCAGAGCATGCGCAGGGAATGGCCGCAGGCGGGAGCGCGGGGGTGCCAGGGCCCAGCCTTCACCCACACCGCCGGGTCAGCCCTGGCCGGGTCCACTGTGGCCAGAGCTTTGTGACAGCAGTGGCTGCCCACATGCGAGGTGCCCACAGCTCCAGAAAGGCCTCGCTGGGGAGAGGCAGCACGAGCGTCCGCAGTATTCATCCTGGCTCCCCTGCTGCATGTGGGGGAGCAACCCCACAACTGCATCCAGCGTGGACACAGCTCCAACCTGCTCATGCACTAATGTGGGTTTGGGGGCCACCACAGCCCCCTGGGAGGTGCTGTGTGATGGGGAAGATTGGGACAGAGCTCCCATCTCCAAGCCCCGTGATGCCTTCTTCAACCTGCATCCCCTTCTGGAAGCCAGTGAGGAGGGGAAGCGCACGCAGCCAGCCAGGAGGTGCTCAGGAGAGCAGTTCTCCTGTTGGCTGCTTGGAGTGGTGCATGCCTGCCCAGCTCCGGTGATCACGCTTCAAATGAGAGGACTTGATACCTGGCATTTAGGGCATGGAAGGCCCCTGTGAGACCTCTTACAGCACTCATCAGTAGCTACGCCATCAGAAGAAACTTCTGTTTATTCTGTTATTACCATCACCTGTATCTGCTGTAATGATGAGTGAGCAAAGGACCTTTCAGCTCCTGTGTTAGGATGAACATTTCTTCTGCAAATGAGTTCAGCCAGGGAATTTTCATAGCAGGACAGAGGGCAGGTGAGTACGGCACATCTTTAGCAACAGTGCTGCCGTCCATGGCACCATAAAGCCAGCCAGAGATTGGCACAGTTGGTGGCACTGGATCTTTTTACTTCTGGATGTGTGAAACAATGAGAATCTCCCACGGGCTTCCTGACAGGGCCTCTGGGCTCATACAGCGAAACCTACTAAAATGAAGTTATTCCGTGCTCTGATTTTGCACAGAATTAGTAAAATAGGCAAGAAAACATGGAGAGAAAACACATGCTATGAAGAGGGAAAGAAGGAGAGAGTGTCATCTCCAGGGTCTGTGGACACTTTCTGACTTTCTGGCTTTGTCCTGCATTCCTGGGTCTCCCCCAGACTGCTTGCTGCATTACCAGCATAGCCGCGGCTCGGGGGTGAAGGCTGAAGCTTTCGTTCCCGTGTGTGGGGAAGGTGGGGTGAGGGCCACACCTTCTCCTTGCCCTCCTAGATGACACGGCTCTGTGGGCAGACAGAAGCTTCTGTTAAGTTTTCCTGGTCTTTGTTTCTACACAAAATGCACTTTGTTTTGATTTGACAGAGAGCCAAATTGGGCCTTTTTTCCCTCTCCCACCAGAGGAGGCTGAAACGCACAGCAGGTCTTGGAGCCAGCAGCAGGTCCATGCTCTGCTCTTCTCCCAGCATTTCCGAGCACACCCTTGGGGAGAGGACCAAACATTCAACAGCAGGTTTGCAATCAACTAAATAATGATAAATCCCATGCTGAAAACAAGCAGATGCCAGCCAGTGCTTAAATAAAGCCTTTCCACACAGCCTGTCACAGGGTGAGAAGCGGGAATGGGGGGGTGGGGGGAGCTGGGAGTTCAAAGTTTGGGGGGTGCTTTTCCACTGCTTGTGAGAGGCTCAGAGGGCTGAAATAATAGCAAAGAAATGGAGCTGATCCTGCAGAAACCGTGATCCACCATGGGGAGGACTGGCCAGCAAACACTCCTTGCTCTTCTCTGCCTTCCACCACGCCACCTAAGACCCGTGACTCCTGTCCAAGAAAGTGGGGGTGAACCTCGCTCCCCAGCAGCCCTAACATCAGTAAAGAAAAAGGGCTTGGGCATTGCCTTTCCACTCTTCAGGATCCATCTGAGCAAGCAGGATGCAGAACAACTTCTGCCTGTCCTGCAAATCCCATTTCTGCCTGTGGTCCCTGCTTTGGGTGACGAAGAGCTGCCAGCCTTTCACAGATCAGAAGAGGTGGTACCAGAGATTGCAAAATGAGTTAAAAATGGAATGCAGCAGAAGTATCTTGTCAAAGCAGAGGCTGATGGAGAGGCTGGTAGGAAAAAACCCACTCCAATGAAATCCTGTTTGGATATATCACCATAAGGAGAGCTAAGCAAAGGCTCCCCAACACCAGCTCCTAGCAGAAGCCAAGCAAATGCCAAACCAAATGTTCAGCAAGGGCATGCAGCTGGTGTACAGTAGCTGATGGAGCCTGTCCTAACCAGCACTTGAGAGCAGGAAACTTCTGTCCCCCAAAATCAGCATAGGGAAATGTGGGGAAGACGCACGCTGATGCAGATGTAAGGCGGGTGCTCTCTGCTCATGAATGGCTGCGCTGCCTGGCTGCCCAGCACCAGGACAGGCTGCAACCTGCGCCACTATCAGAGAGGCCAGCTTTGCTCTGCCCAGCAGGATGGGTCTGTGGGCACCAGTCAAGACCAGTGAAACCAGCAGCCTGAGCTCTGCACAGCCAGGAGCTTCCACTGAAGCTGCCCTGTAAAGCAGGGTGAAGCCTCATTCTGCAGCACATCATGTGAAACCCAAGGGTGAGCGGGGGAGGTCTTCTACCTTGCTTCCCCACATTTCCTCTCCCTGGTGAGGACAACTCTCCTTAGACACTCTGCCAGTTACCTGTGCCTTTGGGGAGCCTCAGGACCTCCTTGGAACTGGTTTTGTAGTGAGGAAAAGGGAAATGTGCAGCAGGGTTCATAGCACTGAAGGGCTCGGGCACTCAGGGACACTGTATGTTCACAGAAAGGGAAAACCAAGGAACATCTTTTGGGAAAACTGCTGCCTTAGCTTGGGCAAACATCCCCACCACAGATACTAAGACTGGTCATGGGCTGAGGAAATTCTGCCTTGGAAATGCAAGTGTTCATCAAAATCCCCCAAAGGCGTTGTCATTTGCACATAGTGAAAAGCTATAAAGAGCCATCAAGGTTTAGCCACAGCCGTCAGCTAAGCCGCAGGCAGCCACACGCTCACCAGCCCCGCAGGGGGATGGGGAGAGCATCCCAAGGGCAAAAGTAAGAAAACTCATGGGTTGAGATAAGAATAGTTTAATAATTGGAATATAATAATAAATTGTAATGAAAACAACAAGAAAGAGAGAGAGAAACAAAACCCAGGAAACAAACCATGCAACCGCTCACCACCCACCAGCCGATGCCCAGCCCGTCCCCCAGCAGCAATCCTGCCCCCGCCCCGGCCACCTCCCCCCAGTTTCTATACTGGGCGTGAGGCCCTATGGTCTGGAATAGCCCTGGGGCCAGTTGGGGTCAGCTGTCCTGGCTCTGCCCCCTCCCAGCTCCCTGTGCCCCTGGCAGAGCAGGGGAAGCTGAAAAGTCCTTGCCTGGTGTAAGCCCTGCTCAGCACCAACTGAGCCATCGGGGGTTACCAATATTCTGCTCATCCTAAACCAAATACACAGTACTGTGCCAGCTGCTGGGAAGAAAATTAACTCCATCCCAGCCAGAACCAGGACAACAGCACAGCCCACAGAAGGCTAAGCCAGAAGAAGATCCTTCCTTGCTGCTTTGGATGACAACCATCCCTTGTAAGTTGCCATCACTCCTTTCCCAGCAGGGCAAGTCTCCAAAGCGCATGGAAGCTTCCCTTGAGCACCCGCAATGGTGCCAGCTCTCAGGCAAGCCCTTATTTCACATCGCTTAACATCAGATCTGTCAGCATTTACCTCCCAGCTCTTCAGTGCCAGCTGCCTGCCCTTCTTGCAGCTTTAGGAATTGTGTGGCAATGATGTCCTTATGTTACCACTCACCAGAGGAATCCAATGACTGGGGCTTGCTGCTTGTTGGTTTAGATTTTTAAGAACTTTTGCAGCATTCCCCACCCTCCCTGCAAAGCTGTAGCATCCTGGTGGCAGCAAAGCCCCAGGACCCCACCAGGAGCCAGAATTTCACCTACAAGTTTGCATTAATCAGTGCTAAATTCCCTTTTGCCCACAGTTTTGATGCTCCCACATTAACTTTTTGAAGCTCTTCTGTCATCTGGTTGCGCCTTCTGGTTTGCTAAGCTTAATGGCTTGAGGATTTGCAGATCAGTTCAATTCTGGGGACTTCATTCTTGGCACTTACGTCTCTAGAGGTGAAGTCACAGTGTTCGGAGGTGCTCCCCATTCATCCCAGTGTGCTTAAAATCCTTGTTTTCTCATCCCCAAAGTGAACCTGGGTTTTCAAGACTCACGGGGGATGTTTCCCAGGGGTCAAGGGAGAATCAACATAGAAAAAAAGGATTGCTGGTGGTGTGGATGATCAGCCCTCTGCAATCGTTACTGGATCCTGGGGGGAGGAAATGCAATTAAGGACATATTGATCACTGGGCCAATTTCAAAATCTACCCTCAGGGGTCTGACCTACTTTGGACTAAACTTGTTCATTGGCAGTTTCCCCCCTGCTCCCGAAAGTAGCTGCATCCACAAGGACACTGTTGCTCTCCACGGAGGGAAGTGGGGTGACAACTCTGGGTGTCCCCTCCGGTTGGATGGAGCCCACAGCAGTAGCACCGAAGGGGGTGCAGCAGTGCTGGGCAGATACATCACAGCTGGCCACCCCACTAATGGAGCAACTGGGAAAAGATGGGCAAAACCATTCTTACTGTTTTATTTTTTTGGCAGGGCAGATCTAGTCTGGAGCCCTTGAGAAGCTATAACGGTGGGGTGATCTCCAAGGCCACTTTTGCCATTGCTTTTTGGGGTAATTGACCCAGGGAAACAGCTGAGGGTGGCAGCTTTTGCATCCAGGTCATTGGAACAAGGTATTGCAGCCGTTTCCAGGCACAGAGTGCTGGGCAGGGGAGGGCTTCTCAGTGCTGGGGGCTGGCTCCTTTGTCCCCACCCGCCCCGGGTGGACACGAGTCAGTCTGAGATGGGCAGCGCAGATGTACGTGCTGTACTGCAGTCACCACACAGATGAGGGAAGAGGGGGGCACAAGTCCCCACTCCCTATAGCTGCCCTGCTCAGAGCTCTCCCTGGCCAGCAGCTCAGCGGCGGCAGTTCATCCTTTGCTTTCCTCTGAGGCCGAAGGAAGAAGCTACTCTTGCTTTGCCTCAGGAATTGCAGACACAGCGCTTGCCACAGATGAGACTTTTCCTCATGTAAGGCAAAACCCAAAATTGAATGCGACCAGTCTGAGCACAAGGCTTCTGATTTCCCTGCATGAGTGTGCATTTCCCTGCCAGAATTGGTTCTCAGGAACATCAATAATCACAACAGTTCCTGGACTATTATTTAATATGCATGCATATATGAATATGTGTAAGAATGTGTAATGAGTGCATACACGTATGGGCTGTTCAGGGCACACAGAATGTAAGTGTCAATGAAATACTTACCTCTCCCCTGCCTTTTCCTGTTTGCTTAACACTGAAGTAGGCTGTCGTATATCATTGGAATTGGAGATGTTAGAGGGACCTCATGTAGGAATGAGTGCTGTTCTGCCTCTGATACCCTGGTAGCTGGGAAGGTTCCAAGAAATCACAGTCTCCTCTGAACTGGGATGCAACAATAAGGAGGAAAAAACCCTTAAATTCTGCCCTTTGCTAAAATTCACAAACCTCACAGGCTCTGTGTCTGAAGGTAACATTGGGGTCAAGCTCAGCAAGGCCATTTGGACCTCTGGTAATGCTGCCTCGAACGAGCAGACCACAGGGCACAGCAACAGCAAAGCAAAGCGGAAATCCTGCTCAGTTCCAGCAAGCGGGCAACAGAGAAAAAAAAGAGTGAGGAAAAAAATCAGATGTGCTCTGCCCACCAAACCTTGCCTGGATACACAGTTTTAGCTCCACATCAGTCACGGGTCTTGTATAGACTGAAACCCTGTTTGAGGAGCTCCAAAGTGGCGCCGGGCTGCCTGGCAGGCAGAGCACTGGAGCACAAGCCAGGCTGTGCAGCTTCCTTCTGCCGGTGACCTCAGCTGACCTGGGGCTTTCTGACTCCTGTTTCCTCAGTTTCCCCATCGACACAGTAAGCTCTGCTCTTTGTAAAGGGCCTCTAGCAGATGGGATGAGGGGAGCTGTCTGCACTTGGCTAAACCTGTGATTTTGCTGGTTCATTTCCTCTAGAAATACAATACGGGAGGGGAAAGGCATCTGAAATTTGCAGAGGGTGGAGGAGAGGCAGACTGGGGCAGCCAGGCAAGAACTTTCACATCAGACTTGCGGAAAGCAACAGCCTGAGACCCAGCCAGTGTCCCCGACATGAGAGCAGGCAGTGGGCAAGCACAGAGGTGGAGCTTACGCTGGGGGTTGTTAGATACAGAAGGCTTGGATAGGTCAGTGCTAACCACATGCCTGGGACGTGGATGAGGGGAGCAGAGCAGAGAGCCATGCTGGCCATGGTGGGGGCAGCCCCAACCCTCCTGGCCCTGCTCAGCATAACAGCGGCTTTTTGTGATGCCCAGGACACCTGCCCAGGTAAGCAGGGCACAAACCCACTGCCATCCCGCTGAGACAGCCTGTTTCATCTCCCCCATGACAAAAGGAGCTTGAGGGAGGGTGGGATATGATTTTTTTTTGCTTCTATGCTTTTTTTAATTCAGCTGCAAGTGGGAGGAGGGTAAGGGGGAGGATGAAGTCTCAGCAGCCACTTTACAAAGCTGCTAGCTCCAGCAAAAGCCATAGCATCCTCCACCGCCTGTCAGTGGGATCTCAAGGAACAGGCTGTCCCCGTGGAGGTTTTCCATCCTGGCGAAGGTGCTATGTTCATGGTGCCTTGGCCCAGTTACTGAAGGATGCAGAGCAATACAAAGGATCAGCCAAGTGCTTGCTGGGTGCCAGCCTCCCTGGCAGCTGGGAGATGTTGCACAGCCCAGCTTTCTGTCTGTATTCCTTGGGACAGTGATGGGGGCGATTTCAAACTGGGCTGGAGCTGGGAAATTTGGTAGAGCTTTACTGTCCACAGATCCGCCAATGCCACTTTCTCTGCTGTTAACACCCCCCAGGGCACATCTCAGCTTTTGTTTTATTGATCTACAGTGTATTTGTCATGCATGCAATGTCTCCTGTAACAGCCTCCTCTCCCACTGAACTCCCCTGAAGCCAGAGAGGTTCGGTGTCTGGCTCCTCCAATAGGTGAGATCCTCGATACCCTCTGTTAACCTGTACAACACCCCCCAGCTCCCGCCCTCGTTGCCTTTGCTTCTGCTGTTCCTGCACTCCAGAATTGTCTTCATTCCCGTAGAGGTGAGAATAGTGGGACTGGGTGATGCTGACCGACTCACCGTTCTCCAAGGATGCCCAGGGAACCCAGGTGCCTCTGGCCCAAAAGGAGAACGAGGCCTCGCAGGAGCAAAAGGTGAGGCCCCAAAAGGCAGCAATGAACACAGTGGTAGGTGATGGCTTTGGGCTGGAGCCGTGGCTGGGCTGGCACTGGCTTCTGCGAACAGCCAGAGAGTTGAATGGGAGTGGAAAACACCCCATCCAGGGATGTCCTGGTGCACATGGAGTCAGCTTTTCTTTTCTGAGTCCTGTCACAAGTCTGAAGTGGTCCTGGGGTGGGAAGTGTCATAAGTCAATTGTTTCTTCTACAGTAAAAACATCCATTTATTTTCCAAGTCTGTATTGAAAGGCCTGGGTGGGAGGGAGGCTACGCTGCTCCTGCATGTCTGCTGGGGAACAGTTTGGGAACTGCAGGCACCCCCCTGCCCCAGGAAGTGAGGGAGACGGAGTCCTTCAAGGATTTTCATAGCCAGCTCATAGAGGCGAATCACATCAGCAGAGGGAGCAGATCCACTGCAGCAAATCCAGGGGCTGGCTCCAAGGTGTATGAAGCTCACAAGAACTCACACACGAACTGCAAATTGGGACTTAGGCTGGCAGTGCCGGTGCTGTGTAGCTTCAACAGGAGAAAAGGTGTTTACAATATGTTGTAAGACTGAACTTATTTAATAAAACCCAGCTTCCTTGTTTCTGCGAAAGCCAAGGCCCAGCTTCCCGGGCTTCTGTACCACCCCCACTCTGGTCTGTTTGCGATGTGCACGTACAAACCGAGTCTTTCCTTGCAGGAGAAATGGGAGCCCAGGGACTCCCCGGGAAAGCAGGACCGCCTGGTGCAAAAGGTAATGCATGACATTCAGCTCTAATCCATAAACCTACCCAAGCTTGGGACGTGCACTGGGAGGCTGGGTCTACAGAGGCAGATGTATGGATGACCATATCTATGTACGACCACTTTGGGGTGGTCATAGCCCAAGAAACAACCCTGGAGCAGCACAGGCAAAGCAGGATTTGGGGGTATGGGTCTTGCCTGGGGTGAGTACTAGGAACAGTGTCCTGGAATGGGACACACCACAGAGGAAGATACTTCTCAGAGTTCCCCACTGACCCTCACCAGCCCCTATGATGCTGAGTGCTTCCAGCAGCCCCCAGGCCTGGACTTGGTATGCACTGCTGGACCAGATGGATGGGATCAAACTGCCAGGGAACAGCTGGTACAGGGTAAAGCAAGGAGGGAATGGAGGGTCCTTTGCAATAGGATGAGCCCCTGAAAAGAGGAAGATGTCTGCTGAGAAATGGGCTTTCACCCCACCCAGGCTGCACTCAGGCAGGATCTGTGTGCTGCAGACACTGGAGAAGTGTCTCTTCTAAAGAAACGAGTTCCCAGCACAAAGAGGCACCCAGGAACTGGGCACTGCTGCACCGATTGGCTGGGAAAACAGCCTCTTTGCATGCTGCACACATAGCTATTTCCTGGCCAAAAGCACCCGAGACTTCAGCTGAAACCCCAGAAGGAGATGGATGAACCCACTGGAAAAGCAGCTGTTGCCCAAAATCTCACAGGTGCCTCCAAAGCCCCTGAGATGGGGCTGTGAATGCCCCACACACTCAGCAGACAGAGCCACAGCTCTCTCCCATGTCCTGCTCTTCCTGCTGCTTCCCAGGTGCTGCTGATCTCAGCAGAGCACCGTAGCCTTGCACCACTCAGCAGCCTCTCCTGAACATTTGGGACATATGGAGGGGCCAGAGTAGCCACCCAGAGAGCCACAGTAATTTGGTTGCATCAAGTCACCTGCGGTGAGCATTTCCCTCTTGTCTCTTGCAGGAGCAGCTGGAGAGCCCGGCTTCCCAGGACCGACAGGTAAATCACACTGCACTGAATTTAGCACGTGAGCTGGTTTAGTTAAACTTCCACCCCGTGCTGTTCTGGAACAATGCGTCAAGTGGGAGCCACTATAGAGAAGTAGAAGTACCCCACCAGGTACTGGATGGGGCTGTTTGGTGACAGTCGTGCCCCATCATCGGCTCAGCCCCGGTCTGGGGGGTATGGGCAGCCCGTCTCCCAAACCAGCAACAGGGGCTGGCCCCAGCTCAGGCACCTGATGCTGCCACCCAGCACCATCAGCTACGGAAATCACGGGGTTTGCAGGCTGCTCAGCGACCTGGAGAGCTGCTCCCTGTGGCTGAGGGCGCTGGGTGTCGCTGACGTAGGTACAGGAGCCTGTGGCTTGCACTCCCACCTGCCTTGTCCCCTTCTGCTCTCCTGGGTCCCTGCAGATGGGCTTTGGTGGGCCAGTGGGTCTCCCATGGCAGGCCCGAGAGCAGCTGGGGCAGAGAACACACTGAGTTACTCCTTCTGCCTGGTTTCTCTGTACCTCTGTTGTGTGCATGGATGAGCCAAACACTTCCCCTAAGCCCTCTACCAGTGCAGCGGGATTTGTCTTGAAAAGCAAATGATGCCAAGTGCTGGAGGAGGGGAGGGCATGTTGTGGAAGGGGAAGAGCAACTGACAGTGGTGTTTGCCCAACAGGAGCAAAAGGAGAGCCTGGACTTCCAGAAACGCGGGGTGAGTTCCACCCAAGGTCCTTCATGCCAGCATTGGCTTTGCAGAGCAGATGATTGTGGACTCCCTGCAGCAGAAGTCAGGGCAGCAATGAAAACGAACTCAGCCTGACGCTGAAGGACAGCGTAAGGCAGTATGGCTGTTAACCCATCTGCTGCTCACGGCCACGTGCAGCTTCTGTGTGTCCACCCTGCAACACAGCCAGGCTAGGTCACATCTCTGAGCCCTGATTGAACTGTCTGCCCCCTGTGTGTACCAGGGGAGGCCCGTCAGTTTTTGAGAGCCTCAGTGTCTTGGTTTCCAAGATGAAACCACTAGAAACACCTCTGTAGACATGCTGGTACTTCAAAGGCAGCGTTCACATGTGTGATAGTGCTCGGATTAACTTAATCAGTTAAAAAAAAAAAAAAGAAAAAGAAAACAAACAAGCTCCAGTTGGCCCATCTGCCTCCATGAGCTAAAGCCCAAGCAGCGCTACAGCCTGCTCTGGCTGCCCTGGGACGCTGTAGGCAGCCACGTGCAGAGGCTCAGGCGTATCAGAGCTGCTGTAACACTGGAAAGAGTCTGGGATGCTGCTGAGCTGCCCCTTGCTCAGAGGAGCCCCAGGCGCTCCTCTGCCCTTTTACATTTCCTGGGTATGTAAAAACATTTGACTAGTGAAGGAGATGCTGAGTCCAGGACCATCACTCCATTGGGAAGGACCCCCATGCCCCAGGGCAGCCAGGTACGGCCGTGTCTCCATTCCTCAAACACAGTACACTGATACCTGGGCCACCAGACCAGCACGGGTCATCTCCCGAGGCTCTCCCCTGTGAAAGCCACAAACGCAGCTGTAAGCTGGGATGTCTGATAGGGACCATTCCAGCCAAGCCTTTGGCATCTGTGACTCTGAGCTTCTGTCATCTGGTGCGGTTTTTAGGAAGAAAATTACATGTATAAATAATATACAGGTATATATTCAAAAGTGCCGATTGGCCAGCCCACAGAGGGTGACCTGAAAGCTGTGTTTCTGCATTACAGGTAGGTGGTTTTTGGTGTCACCACTCCTGCGCTGCCAACTACCCACACACTCCCCGTGTTCCCCATAAGTTCCCGAGCCCAGACAAACTCCTGGATCACGAGTTTGTCATCCCGCTCCATCACCCAGATGATCACCTAGACCCCCAAAAGCATTGCTGCAGATGAGAGGAGTCTGAGCACCTTGGGTCGTCTCCTCGAAGATGCCCATCTCCCCTGTGGCACACAGACTGGGAGACTGCAGTGGGGTTTGGCTCCCAGTAGGTGCATGCCGGAGCCCTGCAGTGTTGGGAGGCCAAAGGGCTCAAAGCCTCTGGCTTTGGGCGTGAGGCCGATGTGCTCCTGGATGCACTGAGCATGTGGTAACGCTTTCCACTTCATCTTGTTCCCTGTTTTGCATAGAAGCCAGGAGCTGCCAAGAACTACGGGGTAAAGGGAAGATCCTGAGCGGCTGGTACACCATCTACCCCCACGGCTGCAATGCCACCACCGTCTTCTGTGACATGGACACGGATGGTGGAGGATGGATTGTAAGGAGGAGGAGGAGAGGGAGGTTTCTGTGTCCCTACAGTGATTTTTATTAAGGGTGCAAAGTATGGCACCAAAATAGAAACAAAAAGGGAGGAAATCCCACACTAAGGGTACAGCTGAGGTTCATATCTGCAAGGCTGGGTGAATCCCTGCAGATGCAGCGGACTGTCCAGGGAGATGTCTCTGGGAGCAGGCTGAACGCCACACGCCCACTCTCTGTGTACATCAGTAAATCGTTTCCTCCTCATTTCCTGGGGCAAATGGAAGAGGTCTGTGAGCCAGGGATTCCCCTGGGGTACGATCCCCAGAGAACCACAGGAGCCTGCGTTGGACATAGGGGCAGCATTTGCTGCGGGGGGCTACGCCACCCAGGCGCTGCGGATGCCTTCAGTGGGGGTGGCCCGGTGGGACTGATGCTCTCCTTTCCTGCAGGTTTTCCAGAGGCGCTGGGATGGGTCAGTGAACTTCTTGCGAGATTGGGACTCATACAAACAAGGCTTTGGCAGCCAGCTGACGGAGTTCTGGCTGGGGAATGACAACATCCACCTCCTCACCTCGCTGGGTAAGGTCAGCCTCTGTCCCAGGTTGGGGTCCTGAGAGTTCAATCCCTGGGTCAAACTTGGTCATTAAAGGGCTCAGAGCTTTCACCGCCGCCTGAGGCCCCAACAGTTGATCCTAAACAGCACACAGGCTCTTGCAGCCTGTTACACACAGGCAATTGCCGCCTAAAAAATCTAGAAACGGGAAGAGAACAAGCTGCCTGCATGACCTACCCTGGAGATAGGCCAACACGTCTTCCTACCAGGACTGGTTGTGCTGGCACTTGTCTTGCTCACATGCAGCCTTGGAGTCACAGTTGTGTGCAGGACTTCTGGCCATGTGGCTTTCAGTGCCCACGACCACCCAACATCGGCTCAGAAAAGGTGCTTCACAAGAAAGCCACCAAAGGGACAGGAGGTTCTGCAGGAATTTCAGATAAATCATAATCTCTCAAGCAGTGGAAGCCCCTCTCAGTTAGGTCAGGGCTCCTTAAACCCTCCACTCTGAAACCCTGTGCGTACTCACCATCAGCCTTGCACCACCACTGCCAACCTTCTCTTCTAGGACCCTGTGAACTCCGCATTGACCTGAGAGACTTCGAGAACAACTACTACTTTGCCAAGTACGCTTCATTCAGAGTTTTAGGAGAGCCTGAGAAATACAAACTGGTTCTCGGAGACTTCCTCGGTGGAAACGCTGGTAAGTTAGCAGCAGCTCACTGTTTTCTAGGGCATTTCAGAAGTGTCCAGCATTTATAGTGCAGACCAGTATCACGCAAATTCCTTGTACCATCTACATTTTGGGTCAATTTTTGAAAACTGGTCATGATACCCCAGATGCCAAGTAACCCCTGGGTACAGGGAAGGGCATAGGGACACCCATCACCGACAGAGCATGACCCAGAGCATTACCTACAAGCCCAGCCACACAGTTTAGCAGCAAATGTGGAGCCTGTTCCTGAGCAGCACCTCACCCAGTGTGACCTGGGACCCAGCAGCCAGGCCAAGTTCTGCTCTCAGTTGTATTGGAAGGAGATATTTGCCCATGAGATTGGGCATTTCCAGGGCTGAGGTGCTGTTCAGGACTGGCAGCATCAGCACCGCATCCTCTTAATGCCTGATGTTTTGTTTTTTCTTTAAAAAGCAAACAAATGCTCTGCAAAATCCAATACCCCTCTTGCAGGAATGAGTGAAGCCAACACCTGAGATAGCAGTGCTCTGGGTTTATGTGGCTTCGTACACTGCAGCTCTGTCTGATAGTCCAGACCTCAGAATGTCTGAAGAGAACCCAGTCGGTGCAGAGAAGTGACACCCATGTAGTTACACAGAGCAGGGGCTGGCCCATCTGCCTCACAGGCATAGAGAAGTTCCCTGTGTGTTTTAGCAGCCCTAGCAAAGCTCAGGATACTCCTTTTCACCAGAACTGAGGAGGAAATCCAGGCAATCAAGAGCACAGCAGGGTTTATAAAATCTACCTTGCACCCGGCCAGTGGTGCACAGAACCATCAGGTCCCCTTTGGGTGCTCTATTGCAGTAATTGCACATGTGGTCTCTGCAGGGGACTCCCTCTCCTACCACAAGGACATGCCCTTTTCAACAACAGACCAGGACAACGACATGAGCGCCTTTAGCTGTGCCACAGAATACAAGGGAGCGTGGTGGTACAATGATTGCCATTACTCCAACCTGAATGGGATGTACTGGCTGGGCGTTCACGGGAGCTACGCTGATGGCATAAACTGGAAGACAGGCAAAGAATACCATTACTCCCATAAGCGAACAGAAATGAAATTCAGACCAGTCTGACGTGGCAAGAGGGTGTCTGACAGCACCAACGAGATGCCACTCAACAGCCAAGAGAAGACACAAAAAATAATGTTGTTTGAGGGCAGAACTGGACCAGGAGGGACATTACAGGCTGTGCCTTCAGCCTCGAGCAGACTTTTAGAGACCAGACGAGATCGGTGGTGGTTTGAGCTCCTATAAGCACCAGACTCTCACCCTGGACTGTCTCTAGAAGCTCCACAGATGCTGACTGAGCCCAAGCATCTTCTGCTGAAAAGCGTGTTACCTTGATTTAAAGACTAAGTGATAGTGAGGCTACTGCAGCTCAGTAAGGCTCTCGGATATTATTACCCTAACTGGCAATTACTGTCAATTTGCAGTCTAATCCACCTATATGAAGCCTCCAGTGTTCTTGCAGCCTCATTTTCTGTTGGACCCAAGAGCCACCTGAAAGGCGCTGAATTCCTGACCCTGCCTCTCTCCCTGCAGGCTGTGATGGAGCCACGATGTAGGCCAGCACAGAAAGGACTGAGCTTCCAGCACTGGGCTGCCAGCCCTGCCACCTCCTTCTCTGCCCATTGCTTCACACAACACGTGCTGCAAGACCTTGGGGGGCCCCTCGGCTCCTGGAGCTGCAGCAGCACTGCCCAGCACGTCCCACCAGGACACAAGCTGCAGAGCCCAGAGCCAGCTCCCGCTGCTCCTCCAGAGCACATTCCTAGAGCTCATTCTTCAGCCGCTGTGGACCGAGAGCTGGGTACAAAGCAGTCTGTCCTGCAGCATGTGTGTACTGAGACACTGCAGTAGTCCCAAGCCTTGCATGAGTGGACATCCTGTAATTGCCAGCAGGTGCCAGTATCTTCCATTTCACCTTGTTCCCAGTAGCATTTGAAGATGGGCTATCTGCTGGTGGATGGGGGCTGTCCCTCCAGTCCGTGTGATGTTTTATTTGACTGTTAGCAGAACTGGCTATGAGATCTCTTCTTCCCGGACTCCTGCTCCTGGACTCCTCCCTGCAGCCGGTGCAGGGGAAAGGAGCCTGGTGCTAACTCCTCACTGCAGGAATGGACCAGGGTCAGCAGAAGCAGAGTATTTATTGGTGTTGTGTTGGGCTATCACACTGCTTACTGCACAGCTCCAGCCCTACAACACTGAATCCAAAACTTGTGGGTGAGAGCAGGGAAGAGGCCACACACCCAGCACACCACCACGGGTCAGCAATGGGGTAAGAAATAAACCTGAGGTTTTGCATCTCCCTGTCACCAGGCCCTGTCCTTGCTCATGTCTCCTTTCCACGTGCATGAGAACGTGCATGTCTGAGCAGAGCAGCATGCACTGGAAGTCCCATAGTCACTTCCCCATCTTCAGGAGCTCTGTTTTGTTTTTCTCCTCCTCCCAGTCAGGTTGATGGGCC